GCCCCACTGTCTCAGTGGGTGGGTGCACCCCCCGTGGTCCTGACATCCTTGCTCGTGTTCTCCCTCCATCTGCTTCTCATTGGGACCTTGGGAGCTCAGTCCAGTGCTCCAGTGTGGGTCTCTGTCTCTATCTCCATCCATCACCAGATGAAGGTTCTATGGTGATATGAAAGATATTCGTCAGTAATGCTATAGGATAGGGTCAGTTCAGGTTCCCTATCCTCAGCTTCCCAAGGGACTAACTGGGGACATCACCTTGGGCTCCTGGGAGCCACTTTAGGTTCTTGGGATCTTGGGGGTGGGGTGGGTTGGGGATAAGGGGGGACAGGGAGAGAAAAGTAAGAAGGGGAGGATTGGGGGAACTTGGGGAAACAGGAAGATTGGGATAAAGGAAGGTTGGATAGGGGAGCAGGGAAGCACATATCTTAGTTAAAAGAGCCACCTTAGTGTTGGCAAGAGTAGCTTTTGCTTGATGGTTAACTTTCAAATACAGTATCTGTAGACCTTCATTCTTCATAGTTTCAGATGCCTTTGTTTTGGTCAATATCCTTCCAATTGCTTTACAAAGAAACTGAGGTTAGATGAATAACCAAACCACCTTGGTTGCCTTCAGAAGGTTCTGGGTTTCCCAAATGTAGGCTGTCACTACAGATGCACCTGCTTCACCTGTTCCTGACACCTGTCATGTGAAAAGAAAATAGAGCCTATGGTACTTCTTTGGGAAGAGGGGTGTGTGTGTGTGTGTGTGTGTGTGTGTGTGTGTGTGTGTGTGTATGTGTGTGTGTGTGTGTGTGTGATGTGGCAGTGTCTTCTATCTATCTGTTGCTTTCATTGGTTAATTAATAAAGAAAACTGCTTGGCCTGATAGGTCAGAACATAGGTAGGTGGGGAAGACAGAACAGAATGCTGGGAGGAAGAAGGGAAGTGAGGCAATCGCCATGCCTCTCCTCTCTGGGCAGATGCCTTGGAGCCAGCTGCCAGGTCAGACATGCTGAATCTTTCCCGGTAAGCCACCACCTCATGGTACTACACAGATTATTAGAAATGGGTTAGTCATACAGTTTCTGTGTTATTATTTCAGAGCATAAGCTAGCCAGGTGGCCGGGAGCTGGGCGGTGGGAAGTGGCCCATTGCTCCTTCTACGTGTGTGTGTGTGTGTCTGTGTGTGTGTGTGTGTGTGTGTGTGTGTGTGAATAAAAGGATATCTGGATACTTTAGCCCATTTCTCACTTAAAATAAGATCTTTTTTTCACTTCTTTCCTTCACAAATGTAAAAGGAGATGTTGTGTGTGTATGTCTGTATATGTGAGGTTACATGTTATACATGTGTGTTGAAGCTCAAAGTAGGTTCTTGGTCTCTTTGTCCATCACTTTCCACTTTATTTCCTGTGGCAGGTTCTCACCTGACCAGAAGCCTTTTACTTGTACAAGTCTAACTAACTAGCTTGCTCTAGGGATCCCATATTTCTGGAGTCCTGTGATTCCAGGAGGCCCCCCATATCTGCTACCTTTTGTATGTTTTCTAGGATCCATTCTTTAATTCTTATCTTTCATGGCAAGTGTTTTACCTACTTAGTTAACTCCTCAAAGCACCATAACAGTGAATTTTTAAATAAAAGAAATGAAAAGCATTATTTTCATGTTTCTGATGTGAGAAGATGAAACTTCATAACTGGAGAAGAAAGTATACCTTTGTCTCTGTGGCGTTCTTCACAGGTTTCTAACTGTTTTTTTTCTTTACAGGCTTTTCCTGGAAATGTCAATTCTGACAGTGTGGTCCGACATGACCTGCAACATGCCATTGTTGCCCGTTATGTCCGCATCGTGCCCCTGGACTGGAACGAAGAAGGCCACATAGGGCTGCGTGCAGAAGTCTACGGCTGCTCTTACTGTGAGTACCAAATGCCAAAGTTACATTGGTATCATGGGTCAACATCATTGAAATTGCAAACTTTATTTTAAGTTGCTTACACTTTTTAAAAATGAACTGTCACACACATATGTATGTACATAGCACTGGGTTGTTTTTCATATTTTAGGATATAAATATATAACACATATATGCATGTAAGGATATATTAACTGAGTGCTGAGGAGGTGAAATGACTGCCTGGACTGTGTTAAATCCCAAGGTCTGTTCTCAGGACCTCATAGTTAAATGTGGTGTTTGATGCCTGCAATCAGAACAAATAGCATGGAGAGACAGAAAATCAGAAATTCAAAACCATCCTCAGTTACATAGTTAGTTTGTGACAATCATGAGCTGAGATGAATGATATCTTGTGTCAAAAAACATTATTTTAAATAGAGTACATTAAGAGAGGGAGATAGAAGTGATTTTTCTTACTGCACTGAAGTAAGTATTGGTTAAAATGAATTAATTCTTATGAATTATTTAAAAGCAGGTGATCTACCCAAGATCCACCCTTCTGGCATTTGGTAAAGAGTTAAGATTCATTTTTGAAGGCTTCCTATGACTCACCATGCCTCTTGTCTTGACTTGTCATTCTTCTTTAGATGTCAAAAACTGGAAATTTTAAAGTTTTTCAATTTTTTTATTTGTGTGTGTGTGTGTGTGTTTGTAAGAATGTGTTTGTCCCGTGTGTGTGTGTGTGTGTGTGTGTGTGTGTGTGTAGTAAAGGAAAACTATTTGGAGTTGTTTTTTTTTTCTTCCATCATTTGGTAATGAAGACCTTAGATTGTCAGGCTTGGTGGCAAGTGACTTTAGCTGCTGAGAGAGTCTGTCAGCCTCCACCACTGGGTTACATTTTTCACCTTTTAAGTTCAATTTTACATAAAATGTTTCTTTTTATTTAATTGTGCTTTAATCTCCATCTTTAAAAAGTTCTTAACTATATAACACCTAAATCTAATGGATCCAATATGTGGATTTCGGGGATTGGAAGGCTGCTATCTGTTTTCTCTGCTTGCGGTAAAGTGGGCCTCCCATTGTCCAAGATTTTCCACAGGAGTGTCAGTAGGTATCTAAAAGTGTAGCAGTGTTGAATCTTATATACACAGCTGTTCATTGTGCACACACATCTATGTTAAAGTTTGATCTATGAATTAGACATGGTAAGGCATTAAGAGATTTGCAATACTAATGAAATAGCACAATTAGACAATTTGCTGTAACTAAAGATGCTTAAACCTCAGAAGCCCTTTTTTATTTCTGTAATTTTATATTGAATACTTTAGAAAATAGTTGAATGTGGGGCACTGAAACCTTAGAAATCAAAACATCAGATAAAAGAGAGGAAACTAATGTATTTCTCTTTCTCTTCTGCCCTCTTCCTTTCCTTTCTTTCTACCTTGGCTGCTCTTTACCTTTCTTCTGGGCCTCCTTATCTCCCTGTATTTGTATTTACATCTGCTGCCTCCATAGGATCCCAGTCACATCAAAACTCTATCTGCAGAAGTTCCTTTAGGTCAAATCTGAGGGTGGATTCTTTTAAGAAGATATGTCTTCACTTATTTTCTTTGTGAATTCTTGCTAACACAAAGCCACTTTAAAGTTTGCTGAATTTTGAAACTACTGGACAATAAAAATTTTATCTGCAAACACTGGCTTCATAACATTAAATTTACAGTATTGTATTTTCCTGTCCACCCAGGACATGTTTTTTTCTTATTCTACCAATTGCACAAAGTAGAGAAAACGTAGGAAATAGATCTGGAGGGGAATTGGTTTATCAGCTTCTGCAAGAAATATCCAGTTATACTTTTACCTATCATTTCTTACAGACACATAAACATAAATCGTCACTATAACCCTAAAGTGCAAAATTCCTTCTTTAAGAAGACTTTAAAATTAATGGAATACTTAATATTTCATAATAAAGAATATGTAAAGTTTTCATGTCTATGAGAATTTAGTTGCAAAGACTCTTGCAAGCAGTAGTTACAGTAGTTACAGATATAATGAAACAGTATCTTCTGAGTTCAGAGACAAATGCTTAAGAATGCAATAAAGTGGCCAGGAAAATTATTTAAATATTCATCCATTAACATTATTTGCTCATTGCATTATAAACACATATATCTATATATTCCATATATAATGAAAATTGGGATAGATTTAACTTATTGGGAAAATGTAACATTTCAAGGAAATGAGTTATGTCTTTGGGAGAAGCCAACACAGAACCCCAACATAAATTAAGGTCCTTTCTACTGTGTTTTATGGTATTCAGAGACACAGAAGACAGAGCATCATCAACTGGTTTATTTTATTAAAATCTTTGTTAGAAATAGCCATATTTTGAGATATTAATTATTCACTCTTATTCTACATATAAACTAACATTCAAATTGATAAGCATTTAGTTGTCTTTAGCTTTTGTTTGCTTGTTTTAGAGTTGCTGTTAGTGTTTCTGATGGTATAGATATAGAATTTGTGAAACCCTGTCATGCAATGTGACATGGGTCTTTCTATCTTGATATCAGAACAGATATGATTATCTGTATGAGACCCTCATAAGATTTGCTCCACTTGTTCTGTTGGTGCTGAGGGATGAAATAGGCAGTGCATATGCTCAATGGATTCTTTTACTCCAAAGTATATATAAGCTATTAGCATGGGCTGTTGGAGAGAGACACTTCTTCCTTGTTGTTTCTGCCTATAAGTTGATCATATCATACTCAGTTAAATTCATGAGTTCCTCAAGGTTAGCCTTGGGTAGAGTTATCATTTTAGTATGTCCTCATTTTATTATATACAGTGGAAAGATGCTTACTTTTGCCTCCTTAATAAAGAAAATACAAATAGAGAGTATGGTATCATATTAATGAGTGGTGTGCATGCATGCTTGAGAGTGTGTGTGTGTGTGTGTGTGTGTGTGTGCTCAACTTTGGTCAAATGGACTAAAGATTTTATAAACTGGATGTATCCATTTTCATCTTCACAAGTTCTATGAGAATTCCTGTTTGTCTACAAATCCAGACGTTTTAAAATTAATTTTGAGGTTTTAGTACATGTTCATTACATATCATTTAGCTGTAGTGATGAGTGTCCTGACATTTTAGAGAGGTTAGAATTGTGGATCACTACTGTTATCTTTTTTTGAAGTATTTATTAAACATATTTGCTCATATTTCTGGGTGCAGTCCTTATTAATTAATTAATTAGTCAGTTTTAAATGATCAAAGCTTTTTCTCTCTCATTTTCTCTCTCTCTCTGTCTCCCACAGAGCCCTTATTATGAACTCTAGACATCTCATGTTTAATGTTTTTCTTTAGAAGTAATCATTTTAAAATATGTAGTATAACTGAGGTCATTTAACATTCACAGTAAAAGAGAGTCTTCTCAGTTGTAGTTTAAATATGACAACACGCTCTATAGTCATAGAAGTCCAAATTTAAGATGTAGAATCTGTTCCCTCAGGGGAATTTTCATCACACCTGTGCTTTGACAATCGCAAGACAGGAAGAAGAAATAGCTGAAACAAAACAGGAGGCCAAACTTTCCTAGGAGAAGCCTTCCATGGAGCAAACATTATATGTGTCAACATTTATGTCAATAAATATCAGTGCAGTATATGATAAATGAAAACATAACATTAAATAAATATAAGATCGAAGTTGAAAAATAGCATTATAATTATTTAGGTAGTAGTCCCCAAACACATTAGAGCCTGATTCTTAGAACCTAATTCCTTGCTAAAACTAAGTTTGAAGATGTGATCAGCAGTCCTGGCACAAGGAATGCAGCATGCATTACCTGGGTGAGAAATACCTTCCCTTAGGTCACTCAGCTGAGGGAGATTTCACAGGTAGAGGAAGAGGAGGCACTGTGGACCCTGACACCAGAATGGCAATAAAGTAATTGCCTATCAAAAAACGCTGCAGTGACCAAATGCTGTAGGAAAAAAAAGGAGTCAGCTCAACCCTTTGATAGAGTGTGGCCTTGCCCACACCTTGATTTTATCCCTAGGAGACTAATCGCTGAATCCTGTCTCAGGACAATACAAACAAAACCAAAATCAACCTTCTAGATATGAACCGAAATTTGTGATTGTTCTTCATAGCTCAAACAATAAAGCCATGCTAGCGACAACATGATGTTAGCAAATCAATCTTTACAAGAAGAAGCTCTCGAGCAGTGCCCTCCAGCATCCTACAAATGTTCCCTGCCTGCTCCAGGGACTGGCCGCAACTACTTATCAAAAGACTCAACATCCAACTATGACAACCAAAAGAGTTAACTTTGTAGTTGTTTAAAATTTTTGTGGATGTGAATTTAAATAATGTGACTTCTGGCTTCATGTTAGAGTGAGGAGTTGGAAGAACAAAGCCCTCTTTGCTTTTCCTTTTATGTTGGTGTGATCCAAACAACCCATAACTGTTGTTTTATTTTATTTTTAAATAATACCCTCTCAGCTTTTTTTTTTCCTTAATAGTCTGAGGAACTCATTGCTGTCTAATGGTTGATGACTACCCACTCCTCTGAACACTCCAAAGGTACAGAGCACATTCTTCGTAGTCTGTTTTTGAAAAATGTACATTCATTTCACATTTTAAAAAGGTGAACTATACTCATCGTAGGAAAACAATGTGTGACACATTTATGACTAACTTTCTAGGAGTTACCACTGTTTAAATGTATACTGAAATATGAACTAGAATGGACACTTAGATGACTTTGCTTTGCCTTAATCTTCTACACTCTTCAAGTGGGAAAGGCAGTCTGGGAAATGTAGATCAGACTCGTCCTCCCACTTGTCTCTATTAGTAGGTAGAAATGCAGTGTGTTCCTCGGTCTCAGCAAGGATGACTATAGCCTAGAGTACTCCTGTGGAAGAGAGAAATGCGTTCTTTCATCCTTCTACAAATGCCTTGAAGGCTTGTCAGGGGTCTTTCTTAATGGGCAGCTAAGGGAGGGAGAGGAGAGTG